AATAATACAACTTTCATACTAAAAGTATCTATTGGCTGGCCATTTCTAAAAATACCACATTTATCAGCTCTATCATTCTGTTGGAAGGAATTAGATTATTTTTGCCATGATAGACTATTTCCAATATAAAAATATTGTTGTAGATTGAACTTATACACTTACTTTGATTGTAATATTATCAATTTAAGTCATAATTTATAACTGATCTTATTGTCAATGCATCATAACAAGTGGAGAATGTGTATGTAATAAGGGACTTCTTTATCTATAATGTATTGCTACTTCAAAGTTATTGCAAAGATAGAAGTAATGTATGTCCCTGGTGAAAATCTGAGAATCCCAGTATTTGGAACAATCTTTCAATTTTTTTTTCTTTCAATCTCTCCAAACTCTCTTCTATTCCTTTACTTAAACTCTGAAGTGCTTGCAGTTCTGCTCTTGTTATTATTTCGCTAGATTTCAAATCATTACCCTGTCAGGAATAGAGCAGGCAGCTGCACTTAAGATGATCTGGTCTAAGTTCAAAGCTAAGCAGTAATAATTTTGGTTTGTACTTGATGGGATACTACCAAGTCATATCAGGACTGAATGTTAGACTAAGAAGTGAAAAAGAAACAACTCTGAAGAATAGAAATCTTTGTTGCCAGGAAAATTATATGGTTATGTCCCTCAAGAGTTAATCTTAGCACAAGGCATCTTTTTAGTTTTTATATCATGTTTGGTCACCTGAAATTACTGTATGTATCTTCAGATATCATATTTCCCAATAATCTTCATTCATAAGCTTCCTCAACAGGTGGCTAAAAGTTTGTAGTTTGTTCATGGATTGTTCACTAGCAGCCTTGACTCAGTTCCTTAATGTTCTCAAAGCCTCTAACTTTTATTCAAACCTACGGGCCATACTAAGGTAAGCTATGGTGCTAAAAATACCCAAACAGTTTGTGTGAAAATTAGTGCTATGCTAAAATCTATTTTGAACCCATAAGATCTAAGATACACTTGGATTTTCCCATTGCTTGGCAATACTAGTACATGTACATCTCTATTTTTTAAAAAAACCTGTTTTAGAAGAATGGCTCATATTGAGTGAAAAGCAGTGTGGGTGAAGATGTTTACACATTGCACCTCAGCTGTGTTTGCCCAACTTCAACACTATGTTAGCCAACTGCATTTTGCTTGTGAAATGTAGCTGGTTTATGGTGAGCAAGTTGTTCGAAAGCAAAACAAGCAACAAAAAAAATCTGAAATGAATACAGTGTTCTGTGTGAACATAGACCAGGGGTCCTCAAACTTGGCAGCTTTAAGACTTGTGGACTTCAACTCCCAGAATTCTGGGAGTTGAAGTCCACAAGTCTTAAAGCTGCCAAGTTTGAAGACCTCTGACATAGACTATGGCATGAACTTATACCATGTTCCTTGATAAAAGTCTCATAGAACTAATAATGGCTGGGAAAGTTGAGTAGAGTTGCATAAAATAATGCTGATGAACTGTGGAAAGGAACAGAAAAGTAGAGATGGTAATATATTAACTTGCAATCCTTGGGCATTATACAAGTAGACATTGCATTTTCTTTGGGTAGTAATTATCAATAACACTGCAATGCAGGGGCAGGTTCCAAATCCCATCGCTACTGGTTCACTTGTGCATGCTTGCGCAGCACTTCTGCACAGAAGTGTCCAGGTGGGTGGGCAGAGCCTCCTGTCACCACCGCTAACGGTTTGCCCGATCTGGTGCAAACCGGTAGCAACCCACCACTGCTGCAATGTTATATAACTTCTATCTAGAAGTTCTGTGATGAATGGTTTTTAATCGCAGATAAAGTTACAAACAGTTAATTCAAAAAAAAGTTCATTACATGCTATGATGACTTCTTGACTCTTGAATAAAAACCACAGTATTTGTTTAGTGTAGTGTTCATTCATCACTGACTTATTTTGGAATAATTATGCACAGAATCACACAGCACTTCCCCATATGTAATATATGACAATGCTTTAATCATCTCTCTCACACACGAAAGAAAACTCCTAGAATTTTTAAAAAAATAAGTAAAAATGGAATGATTTGGACCTTTTCCAAAAGTGTGGTTTATATTTCCATATACGAGTTCCAATAGAAAGTAGTGGGGATACAGGTCAAGCTGTAGAGTTTTATTTAATGCTTACTTTATGATAACCTTGAGAGTATTTTGAATGTTTTATGAAAAGTTGAACATCAGGAGATTTGGGCTCTGTGGAACAGATGAAATATTGAAGAAGAAGAAAGAGATAAAAGTAGTACAGGCAAAAATCATAATAATTAGAAGCGCAAAAAATTGCAAAAGAATTGGGTTAAAAATAAGCAGGTCATTAAGCTAGCAGCTAAACACGGAATAAACATTTCAGATCAAAAGCCGGAGAGAGCAATATCTTTCAATCAAGAACAACTTCTTAGAATCTGGGTGGCTCCTGGCATAGTGTATGGGATCTCCTGGATCTCAAGTCAGACTCGTTAACCATGGGAAGCAATGGGATGGATTGTTAATGTATTTGGATGAGAAAACAGAAAGGAAATTGTTTCAAGTGCGACTTTGGTGACATTATAGCAGTGTTCCAATATTTGAGGTGCTGCCACAGAGAGGAGGGGGTCAGGCTATTTTCCAAAGCACCTGAAGGCCAGACAAGGAACAAGGGATGGAAACTGATCAAGGAGAGATTCCAGCCTGAAATAAGGATAAATTTTCTGACAGCGGGAGCAATCAAACAATTGCCTTCAGAAGTTGTGGGAGCTTCATCACTGGAAGCTTTCAAGAAGAGACTGGACTGCCATCTGTCAGAAATGGTGTAGGGTCTCCTGCTTGGGCGGAGGGTTAGACTAGATGACCTACAAGGTCCCTTCCAACTCTGTTAATCTGTAATGGTTGGTGGGTGAAGTTCGCTTAGGGAGCATTTCGGGGACCTGGCAGGCAAATCCTCCCCCCCCTCTCCTCAAGATGTCATCCCCGTCCTTTCCCCACCCATTGCAAACGGCAGGCCAGCCCTTCCTCCCTCGGGCGCTTCTGATCCTCCAAAGGATCAGAAAGCCTTCTATTATTTTAAGGGCATCGCAACATACCACGGTGTTTTTCATCATTGCTTTGATGGTGAATCCATCGCTGACCTGCTTCTTGGTTCTTTTTGCGTGTCGCAGCGGCTCCTGCAGCTGCTGGGGTCTCAGTTTAGGGGGGCTTACACCCTCTTTTTCTGCCACCATCTTCTCCGGAGGCTGCTTGCTGCACGTGGGATTTGGAGGTCGGGATTTTAAAAGGAAACTATTTGGATACGAAAACAGATTTTTTTCCTCCCCCCCCTTGGGTCAAATTTCCCCCCACCTAATTTTCGTCCCTTTGCATTTGCTCCTTTCACCCCTTGGTTTAGCTCCTGGGAAGGCTCCTGTGTGGCTTCGAGCAAGAGGAGGAGGGGAAGGGGGGAAAATATATGCCTGTTTCTAACACCAACTCGCTTCTAGGAATCGGTTGCTAGGCAACGTATCAACAACCAGCCTCCGGAGCACAAGGATTCCGCCCTTGTCGGCAACTTCGGTACAGCTGAGCGGATTCGATTTACATACGCATGCGCATTCGGCGTAACTGAAGCCGCGCGACTCCGTGAAGTCACGAAATACAGAAGCTGAAGGCTTTTGCCCTCAGTTTAAGGAATAGGGAAGGAGAGGATGGCAACGTAGCAGGGTTCAGACGCGAAAAGCAGGCTGGACGCTGGGTCGCTTTTATTAGTCCTTTGACCCTCGCTAGCCCACAACTTTCCTATGAATGGTTTTGTTCTGAAAACCAAAAGTAAATTGTCCTGAATCAGAAAATGTGAGCGCCGCTGGTTCCATGCGAAAAAGTTACCTAGTTCAGAAAAAGGGAGCAAATTAGAGGGATGAATTGACTATCCCCATATATAATATCCTAACATTTGGAAGGATTTAAAACATCTTTTAAAAAAAAAAATTCAAAGTACACTTTATATACAGTTCCCGAAAATGAAGGGACTTTTATCAATTCCATCCTGCGCGTTTCCTGACGAGTAAATTCTACTGACAATTCTAATCTATGGGATTCGTTCTCGACTAGCGTTATCTTCTCATTTCTTGCAAAAAGAGCAGGAATGTGGCACGCTGGCAATATTTCATTTGTTTATTTTGCAAACGAAATATCTGTAAGCCTCCCTCGTCTCCAAAGGCTCTGGGGCATCTACAACTTCGACTAAGGGACGTGCCGTCCCTGTCCTAATGTTCCCTTATTCATGTATTCATTTTATGTATTCAATTCATGTTTATACTTATATATATTATCCAATATGTACCCGACAAAATAAAATAAATAAAAATAAATCCAAATGACCCCCAGAAACAAAACAAGCACACACAAAAAAACCCTCTACGTTATCATCCCCACAATTGATCCGTTAACGCTTTCTACTTTAATTGGACTGGTGTGGCTTTTATAGTGAGAAAGCAAAGAATTGCAAAGTTTGTTTGTTTGTTTATTATTTATTTATTTATTTATTTATTTATTTTCTATACCGCCCTTCTCCCGAAGGACTCAGGGCGGTCTTGAGCGCTATGCTATATAAATTTTTAAAAAATGCGTTTTTTTTTAAAAAAAAAATGGTACTCCTGCTCTGAACATTACTGCTTTAACATGAAAAGTTTGGTCAGATGGACTCTTTTTTTAAAAAATAAAACTTAAATCCAATACAGAATAACGTACGTATTCTACATCTATTATAAGATGATGGAAAACAAAAAAACCAAAGCAACACCCCCCCACCCAAAAAAAACCCAGGAACATCCGGAGAAGGAATTGAATTCACTTCGCTATTTCGCTGCCCTTTTTTTTTTTTTTTAAAAAGCGTTTGTTCCTTTAAGTCTCGTTTCTTGAGTGGCGTGGAAGTCGGCAAAGAATTAGTTCGAACTATGCTGTGGTCTCTCTTTATTTTTAAAAGGATGTGCAAAGCGCGCGAGCAATCTCGATCTCAAAAAGGAGGAATTCTACCCGGGATCAATGCAGAACTAAAGATAATCTGCCTTGCGCTGAATACGTTGAACCAGGAGACTTGTAGTACTGAAAGAAGGTAGCCCGGCCGATTGAGAGATACGTTTGATTCCATATATTTACACGCGGAGTCCTCCCGCGGCAGGAGGAAGGTGGAGCACTACATTTCCCAAAGCGCTTTGTAACGTGGCTTTTGCTCGCCTGCGCACTGGGGCACCTTACCGTCTGACCGGCCTGCAGGGAGCGTAGATCCTCAAGTTTGGCTTTTGCAGTTCGAATGCGAGCAGATCAGGGTTTCAGGGCGCCCCACCCCATTGCCAGCACTGGCCATGATCGGTGAGTGAAACCCGGATGTGGTCCTTCACATATACAACCCCTTATTTTGTGCGGGGAGGGCGCGAGATGGCGGAAAGGAGGTTGTTATGCGAGGTTGTTGTGTTTACTGCAAAGTGCAGGTGCCCCTTTGCACACGGATGCCATTTCAATATCGCGTCATTTCAGGTTTGGAATCCCACGTTCATTTTATAGCTCGCAGGTTAGTTAGTCCCCGATGAGCCCATTGGAGAACTTGCGAGATATTTTGATGTTTTCCAAAGGCAAGACGACAAGAGAAAAAGAGGACAAGGGAAACCCGCGTTTAAGTGATCTACAAGCCGCATAAAGGAATGTGGGAGGCGACTGTAGCTATTCAGATGAGCTTTTGCGTGACGTTGTCGTATCATGTGGCACTGAGCTGTTCTCCTAAAATGATCTAATCCACAGCAGACTTGTGTTGCACGGCTCATTGCTCGGGAACTCTTGATTACAGCAAAAAAGGGGAAGATCTCATAACACTGAAGTTTGTTGACTGCTTGATGGCTATTGTGTCACCCGCCCTTTTTCAAAACTGTTGTCCTTTTGTTGTACTCTTTATAGCGTGTAAAAAAAAATACCTCCATAGTCATGTGATCAAAATTCAGACGCTTGGCAACTGACATGTCTTTGTGACAGTTGCAGTGTCCTGGGCCCTTCGGACAAGCAAATCAATGGGGAAGCCAGATTCACGTGTGTTACTAAATTAACAACTGTAGTGATTTGTTTAACAACTCTAGCAAGAAAGGTCATCAAATGAGACAAAATTCATTTAAGCAGTTTTGCTCAGCAATGGAAATTTTGGGTTCAGTTGTCCTAAACCAAGGACTACCAGTATTTTGTGATTGCAGAAGATTGAAGTAATTACATTATTTAGGGGATAATGATGGACTCCCTAATGGATGAATTTAGTTGACCTATTTGGGTATAAATATCTTTATTGAAGTGGCTGAAGTAAACCAGTATGGAAGAATGAATGAAACTGCTCTAGAAAATATGTCATACTTACAAATGCTAAATTAATATGTACCATATTTTTCAGAGTATAAGACGCACCTTAATTTTGGGGGAGGAAAACAAAAAAAAACAAGAATTCTGCCTCTGCTTACCAGCATCAGGATCACCAGCGTCCTCACTTCCATTTGGATTTTGATAATGAGTAACACAGATTGCTTCAGGGAATTGGGGAGGAAAAAGAGATTGCTTCCATGCATCATGTTTTCCGGCGTTTTCCTCCCCAATTCCCCAAAGCCACGCACCCTCCTCCTCCTTTTCTGCAGTCTCACTTTCTCTTCCCTCCTGGTCATATCCGTCTCCCGGGCCAGGAGCAGAAGCTAACCACCCTCAGGAGAAGGGCAGGCTGGGCGGCGAGCACCTTGCCTTACACCTCTCACGCAGAAGCACCCACTTCACAAGAGCATAGCTTCCATGCATCGCGTTTTCTGGCGTTTTCCTCCCCGATTCCCCAATGCAATTCGCACAGCTGCGCGCCCTCATGAAAATGTGGCGGCGGCAGTTTTCAGCCGGTTCCAAGCAGCAGCCTAACTGTTTCTGCCTCCTATCTCCCAGTGTGCGGAGACCGAAAATGTGATGCTCATTTTTGGCCATGTGAGGATCCCCACCGCCTAAAACGACTGGAAAATGTGATGCACGGAGGCTGACAACCTCCCAAGGGTGGGGGCCAGTGGGTGGGTGGGGCTATATTCGGAGTATAAGACGTACCCATATTTTCACCCCCTTTTTGGGGGTAAAAAAGTGCGTCTTATACTCCGAAAAATACAGTAATAACAAAATGGCATCTGTAAGATTTCTGGATAAATTTCTCAGTGCTTCTGTGTAACCCTAACTAATGAAAAAATTGATTTGATTTGATCATCTCTACATTAAAACAGCAAAACTTTCTCCACAAACTTTATGGTTACATATAATGGTTATCTATGGTTGAGTGTTCATTGTGGTTTACTGAGTTAATCGGATTGTCTGTGTTCATATACTACACAGAGCTGCAAACCAACCAACCATGTTTTATTGCAGCATGTGGTGCAAACAGTTTTTCTTTCTCTTTCTCTGATTTGTGTTGAATTCCAAAGGATGGGGAGAAAAATCCCAGCTAGCAAGAAAGGTACAATTCTGTTTAAATCCTGTTTGAAAAAAAATCAAATTCTCAGTGCTGGTTTCAAGTCAAACATAATCTTACATGAATTTTTTCTGTCCTTTGGTCTATGACCATAATAAAATAATTAAAATATTTTTTAAATTATATAAAGGCAAAACTAATTCTCCCTTATTGTCCCTTATATCTTAGTTACTTCCCATTGTTCTATATTGACGCAAGAACTTCCATTGGTCCAGGACACAGCAACACACATACTGTAGTTTTGGGCAGCTAAGGTTTGCCTAGATTACACTGTTGTGTGAATTGTATTGACTTCCAGTTGTTTTCTGAGTGTAATTCAAGGCATTGGTTATTATCCTTAAAGCCCTGCATAGCGCAAGACCAGGTTACTTGTAAGACTCAAAGGGTCTCTGCCTGTCCCAATTCTTCTCTATTAAACAATGTTGTTTTGTGAGTTCAAGGATTGCACTTTTTCTGTTGTGACACCCATCCTATGGAGTAGTTTCCATTGAGATCCAGAGATCCTTGCCTCCCAGAAAACTCTAAAGTCCTGGTAAATTGAAGTGTTAGATAAGCCTGATACAGGTGTAGTTTTTCTGGTTGAGTTTGTTACATTGTGCCCTGGTCACTGTATAATGATTATATTAATTTTGCTTGATTTAGAGAGGTGTTATTATGCTGCTTTAAATGATTATTGTTAGTCATCCAGAGATCATATATAAGATGGTTACCATGTACATTTTCTAAAATAAACAAATAAACATAGCAAAGAATCTCAGCACAATACTATGTCCAGTTCCTTAAAAGTAGATACCATTGTTTTTGGTGATGTTTGCTCCCAATAAGAATGTACAGAATATTGAACTAAGTAAGGGGTTCATGAAGTTGTTGGATTCCAATGAGCTCACTGTTTAACCCTCTCAATTAGATTTCACTGAGATAATTCCAACCAAATACTATATTTTTCATAGTTCTTTTTTGGTTGATTCCTTTTGTATCAATAAGAATATATTTTCTTTTTCTGCTTTATCTTTAGTGGTGACCCCTGAGGACGTGGACAGGATTCTGGGTAGACTGAACGCGACCACTTGTTTATTGGACCCGTGTCCTTCCTGGTTAGTACTGGCTTCCCGGGAAGTGACACGAGGCTGGCTCCAGGGGATTATAAACGCTTTGCTGAGTGAGGGTGACTTTCCCGCCACCTTGAAAGAGGTGGTGGTGAGGCCCCTCCTCAAGAAGCCTTCCCTGGACCCGGCAATGTTGGTAAATTATCATCCGGTCTCCAACCTTCGCTTTGTTGCGAAGGTTGTTGAGAGTGTGGTCGCGCAACAGCTCCCCCAGCACCTGGATGAAACGACGTATCTGGATCCGTTCCAGTCGGGCTTCAGGCCCGGGTACAGCACGGAAACGGCAGTGGTCGCGTTGGTTGATGATCTCTGGAGGGCTCGGGACAGGGGGTGCTCCTCTGTCCTGGTCCTGTTAGATCTCTCAGCGGCTTTTGATACCATCGACCATGGTATCATGCTGCACCGGTTGGAAGAGTTGGGGGTGGGAGGCACTGTGTTGTGGTGGTTCTCCTCCTTTCTCTCTGACCGGTTGCAGTCTGTGTTGACGGGGACAGAGGTCGACCCCAAGGCCCCTCATATGTGGGGTGCCGCAAGGGTCGGTCCTCTCGCCTCTCCTGTTTAACATTTATGTGAAGCCGCTGGGCGAGATCATCCGTGGTTTCGGGGTGGAGTACCATCAGTACGCTGACGACACCTAGCTGTACATCTCCACCCCGGATCACCCCAACGATGCCCTTGAAGTGATGTCCCGGTGCCTGGAGGCCGTACGGATCTGGATGGGGAGGAACAGGCTCAGGCTCAACCCATCCAAGACTGAGTGGCTGTGGTTTCCGACGTCCCGATATAGTCAGTTGACGCCATCACTGACTATTGGGGGCGAATCATTGGCCCCCACGGAGAGGGTTCGCAACTTGGGCGTCCTCCTGGATTCACGGCTGTCTTTAGAAGAGCACTTGACGGCCGTGACTGGGAGGATTTTTCATCAGGTTCGCCTGATTCGCCAGTCCCCTTTCTGGATCGGGACTCGTTACGCACGGTCACTCATGCCCTTGTCACCTCCTGCCTGGACTATTGCAATGCTCTCTACATGGGGCTCCCCTTGAGGAGCACCCAGAGGCTCCAACTGGCGCAGAGTGCGCCCGCGCGGGTGGTAATGGGAGCGACATGGCGTTCCCATGTAACACCCCTCCTGCGCGAGCTGCACTGGCTCCCGGTGGTCTTCCGGGTGCGCTTCAAGGTTTTGGTTGCCACCTTTAAAGCGCTCCATGGCTTAGGACCCGGGTACTTGCGGGACCGCCTACTACCACCAATAGCCTCCCACTGGCCGGTACGCTCCCATAGAGAGGGGCTCCTCCGGGTGCCGTCAGCCAAACAATGCCGACTGGCGGCCCCCAGGGGGAGAGCCTTCTCTGTGGGGGCACCTACTATCTGGAACGAGCTCCCCCCAGAGATACGGAGGATCCCGGATCTGCGCACCTTCTGCCGCGCCTTAAAGACCTTACTATTTCACCAGGCCGGCCTGGCCTAATTTTCCCCCTCTTTTATAAAAGATTTTTAAAATTTTAAATATCTTTTAGTATTTATATATTCAATTTTAAATTGGTTTTAAAAGTTTGGGGTTTTAAATTTGTCGGGGCCAAAATTATTTAATTTGATTTTATTCTATTTTTTAAATTTTGCATTGTATGTGTTTTTATTGTTTGGCTGTGCACCGCCCTGAGTCCTTCGGGAGTAGGGCGGTATAGAAATCTAATAAAATGAAATGAAAAAATGAAATCTCCAGTGCTTTTTTTAAAAAAAAC